TTGACGATTCCAGAAGAAAAATTAATATCACTCTATCGTCACAATAGCTGTATAATAAAACTTCAATCACCTTTTCATTCAACTACAACTGCTCAAACAGCATTGAAAGGAAATTGTATTACCTTCCTTCAAAATGTACCAAATATTGTCAATAGTTTGCCACTTACACTTGCTGATCTTTGTGATACACTTAAAGTAATTTTTATTGGAGCTCGGCTACCTGATCGTCTTCATCTTAAAAAAGTTTTAACAGTACGGAAGAAGAGAATTATTCAGGCATTACAATGGCTAAAAAAATATAATATACTTTATCAAAACATCAACATAAATCTTGAAAATATTGCTCAATTACCAGAAGATGATGTACCCGAATGCATCATGTCAACTTTAGAACAAAAGATAGGTGATGAAGAAGGTCAATCTGAAAGAACTGGATATGTTCCTAATCCATTAATGAATCCAAAAGAATGCACTACTGCAGATGTCATATCTATCAGTAACAGGTAAGAGTATTTAATAAATCAATGAATTTATATAGCTTCGTTATTTTAGTGGTGTTCTTGATGTTAATGGCTCATCAGTATCATCAGATGAGATTGTTAATTACTTTTTACACAAAATAAAAACAAATGACCAAGCAGTTACTGAAAACGTTTACTTAATTCCACATTCATCGAAATCTGTCAATGAATATTTCAATCCAAAATTATTAACTGGTTTATATCCAACTTTATTCTGTTATGGACGAGGAGCACCTGGAGATCAATCACGTCCAATTGAAATCAAATTTAAAGAACATATACGTTATCTATTATCTTATAATGATCGTCGCTTTGAAACAAATCATAGTTTCATATTTGTAGTTTTCCAACTTATTGCAACGACGTGATGCTTGTTTTCATGCTCAATTAATCGCAACAAAACCTTATTTTCAAGCATCAGCTAATGAAATCCCATCAATTAATAGCAAAGATATTGAAATGGCTCTGGACAACAATTCCAAAAGACCATACAATAAAGAAGCAAATAGTGCATTAAATAAACTTCTACAACATATTAAAACTG